AAAAGTTAAATATTGACATATTCCAAACTTTCCATCCATTGATAGGATCTGTGGTAGTTGAGTTTCGCTAAATCAGGCTAAATTCATTCATGGCATATTTTGGAACAGAGAAATTTGATAAGGAAGTATCTGACCAGGACATGAAAAGACTTGAAAAAAATAGAGGATATTTTAGATGATGGATATGAATAAGGCCTACTTATTTATTAGAGACACCGTAATCTGTGTAATGCAATCCCAGTGAAAAGTAAAACCAAGTAAAATGTATGTGTTGAATGGATAGCACAGCTCTAAGTTTGGAAAAGATACTAATAATCTTTGCCTTCAAATAAATTGCATTCTTCAGCCCTGTATACATGATATAATTAAATGATGACACAGGACTGTGAAAATGTGCCCCCAATAAATGGTACAGTTAAGAAATGCTAGATTTATGATTTGGAAAAATGGGAAGGGCTCCATCAAGGAGCTGAGACTTAGCTAAGGGCATGTCTTTTGGATAAGTGAAAGAAGCCAACAGACGCACTGGTGTACTTTATCCTCCAGAGAAGCTGCAAGTTTTTAAAGTTTAACTTTAGGGCCTGGAGCTTTCTTGTGAAAATTGTTATTTCATAATTCATCAGCAAATAAAAAAATAAATAATTGTCATTTGTATGTAGTGATCTCCCCAAATGAAATGACCACTGTCATCATTTATTCTCTATTAGATACTATGAAGTAAATTCTACTCTTTTGCCAGCCATAAAACTTAGGAACAAGGATAAACTTTTTCAGAGATGATGTTTTTAGAGTCATATCACCAAGATACAGGAAAAAATGTCAAAGAGAAAATAAGTTAGTAATATGGTCAAAAGCAAAATGGCATTTATCATTCCCTTTCATCTGTGGAAGCTACCGTACAGTTTTCTGATAATAAAGCAAATAAAAGTAAAGCAGAACAACATAGCCTTGCCTAAATTGAAGTAGCAGTGGAATTTTAGTATTTTTTATTTGATGAAATTATGGGATTTTTTTTTTCTTCATTGAAGCCAGCTTAGAAGGAAGCTGAAATATTATGAAAGTGGATCAGAAATGCAAGTATATTTTACTTTATTCTGCCAAATCCTATTCTATATTATTGTGTCTCTTCTTGATCCAGGTTGGTATGCTAGCATTTGCTTCTATATCCTCTGTGGCAAATTAATTGCAGCTGTAAATTCTTTGCCACTTTCTCTCTCAGAATTTATTTCCTCTGTTCTTGAGTCTGGGCTGGCACGGTGACTTTTTAACCAATGGGATGCAGTGGAAATAGTTTGTGTGCTGCTTCCAGGCATAGTCTTTCAAGAGAACTGGCAGTTTGGGTTTTCTTCCTCTTTGAGTCCTTTCCCTCAGAAACTGGCCACCATGCTGTGGGAAGCTCAAGCCACAAGGAGAGACCACAGGTTAGTGCCCCATTCCACAGTGTCAGCTGGCATCTAGCAGCAGCTGCCAGTCATCATGTGTAGGAGCCATCTTGAATGTTTCCACCCAGTTGCTCCTCACCTTCAGCACCAGCTGACATCAAATGGAGCAGAAGAACCACTCAGCTGAACCCAGTAAGCCTACAGAATAAAGCAGTGATTTTTTAAAGCTATTTCAGGGTGATTTGTTTCACAGCAATACATAACTGAAATAGCTTCCCAAAAAAGCCCTGGAATAAGACCATGGAAGAGCTCATTTGATTTAAATGATAAAGAGATAATATTTAAATGGCCTATGCTTAATTTTTATAACTTCTAAAATGATGATTTCATAATTTATCAGCAAATAAAAAAATAAATAATTGTCATTTATATGTAATGATCTCCCCAAATGAAATGACTGCTGTCATCATTTATTCTCTATTAGATACCGTGAAGCAAATTCTACTCTTTTGCCAGTCATAAAACTTAGGAGCAAGGATAAACTTTTTCAGAGATAATATTTTTAGAGTCATATCAAACTTTTTCAGAGATAATATTTTTAGAGTCAATTTCTAAAAATTGTTAGGCAAAATTTTAGAGGTCTTACTTTGGAAACTAGATCCTTTTAAGTCTGTTTACAAATTATATTAAGGTATTAATTCCTGTTTCATTGTTATGTATTCTGGTTGTCATAGTCTCTCCTTGAAGTGATATGTAAACAACAATGTAATCAAATATACCTTTTTGATGAAAAAACAAAAGCAGTATTTTTCAGCAGAAATAGGATGAATCAGAACTTACTCAAATCTTGGCCCTATTATTTAATAGCTATATGTCCATGGCAAAATTACCTAAGCTGCCTGGGCCAATGAAATTTAAAAAAAAAAAAATTTAAGATAAATATGAACTGTGTGGGATTAGTGAAGATCAGAAATAATGTATGTTATGAACCTAGCAGAATGCCTGAAACCTAGGTGGAACTCATGAAGATAGCTTTTATTGTTGTGAGGGAGATGGTGATAAAAGGTTTTAAAGGGTAGTAAAAATTTGTCTAGTTCATTTTTCTAAGAGGACATGGAAATGGGGGTGTTCCTGGGCTTTATTGGGGTAGAGCTTAAAGGGTTTAAATGACATATCCTTGCAGTTCTTCCTACAAACATGCAGGTTTTATCCAAAGGAAATTCTTCCCCCTAACCCCATTCACACTTTCCTTTCTCACTCTTTTATTGCTATAGAGGATTTGATAAAGGAAGAAAGGCAACTTCTGGGTCCTAGTCCCAAGGGTAGAATGAATGGAGAATTCCTTTTATTCTTTACCTCCCATCCTTCTCTCTTTCCCCAGTTACGTTCATTTTTTAATTTTGTGGGAAAAAAAACACACAGTTTTATAGGAAGCTGGCTGTCTGCGACTAATCTTAGCACCAGGGTGCCACAGATTTCCTGGAATCCTTTTCCAGGTGGAAAACAGACACATCCCAAAGTCTCATTGATGTAGTCCAAGGGAATGAGTACTTGTGGCAGTCCATAGGATTCTCTCTCTGATGTTTTGTCCTAGTCTTTGTATAAAATGTTGGTTTTCTTTACAAGTGCTGGGCATTTTCAGTGTTACAGCTATAACAATGCCCAGTAACTGGGCATTGTCTGCTGAATATGTTTGCTCTTAATGATTGAGGTAAGGTGAATAATTGCTATTGGTGCAACATAAAGAACACTTTTCTAAACTATGGGTTATCATTCTTGGTATTTTCTCATATCTGCCTGACTTGGGGCCACATGAACCCCATTTTGGTCTTTGAAATTTAGCTGACCTTGGCCTTGGATGAAATGCCAGTGTATTGAGTATAATATTTTTGGTTTGGGTCAAAACTCAGGACTTCAGTGCCATAATTTCAACTGGGTGCTTTTGGAAGGAATTATAAATTACCCTGATTTAGCCTAAACACCTGCTGGTATTATTTTTGAATATTTACATGAATATTGATCATTGAAATCTTACTATCTTTCAGTTTGAATATTTTAAATGCTTCTATAGACATTTTCTACACTGTGAAATTGTATGTCCTTTGCTAGAATCTTTGTAAGAGAGTTATCACTGCTTTAAAATCAAATAAGCCTGGAAGATAAACACAGGAATTATTTTAAAACACCATTTACTGGTATGTAAATGCAGGTTATAGAGAGATGAACTTAAGGGTAACTCATGTTGCCTATAAACTTGTCATAGTCATGGTTACAATTATGCAAATTGGTGCAGGCTTTTATTGTTGTTAGTGATAGTACTGCAAACACAGTTTAAAATGTTAAAACCCTTTGAATCATTTATAATTATGGACTAATTTCATCTTAAAGGAGGAAGTGATAATATTCTTATCTCCTGCCATTTACAGCTGAAATATACTTCAAAGCAGCAGAGATTGTGCACTACAAAATATAATGTGCTTAAAGCAGATTTTCCTGGGACTTGAGTTCTAAATTTTACTGCTTCAGGGACTCATATGGTGGCTCTGTAGTATAGATTTAGAGAGAGTTTTAAAGACCCCTATCGATATAGGTGAACAAAATGGTTCCTTGGAAACCGTTTAGACGTACAGGGACATTAAGTGTGGATTTCAGGTTCAGATGCATATTGTGTACAGTGACAAGCAGCAGAGGGCTTGGAGAAGCCTGTGGTCTCTATTAAGAACAGTGCATTTCTTCTGGTGTTTTAATGACTGTTGTTTTAAAAGAAAAAAAAAATCAGCATTGAAACTATCTGGAAGGTAAAAGCTCCTGAAACCTAACCCAGAAGGCATGCTCTCATAGAAAACTCTTCTTAGTACTTGCAGTGCGGTGATAGTTGAGGACATGTGGTATGTATTACAGTGCCAGGGAATTCAAACCTCTGCAGTGTGGAGTCACCATGAAAGGCTAATCTAAAAATGAAGTGGTAGCTTTGCTCGCATCGTAACTCTCTTACTTACCGGTGCTTTCTATTAGCTTGACATCGGTTAGCTTGACATTAGTCTAGTCTGCTTTGGGTGAGACAGAAGAAATGAAATTCAAAGGGGACTCCAGCAGAGGATATATGGGCTGCCACCCCCTCCCCTAGCACTCCCTCCAGAGGTACTCAGCATTTCTCCCTGGGCATGACAAAATCTTACATAGTCATTGCAAAAAGGGCTAAAGGCAGAGCTGTCCATGGTTAGGGGAAAAAAATGTTTGAACTGTTGGTTAAAAACCAGGTAATAACAGTCCTCTTAGTGAACAAAACTTACTAGAGGGCTACGGAAGGAATGCTATCTCTCAGCAGCAGGCAGAAAGAAATTGCTGTTGAAAAGCTTACCTCTCTAGGGAGGAATCAGATATCAGACTTCGCCAAGCCTCAGGTCCAACCCAGAAGGTCCCACCTACACCCCCCCACCCCCCTCCCCATCTCAGCTTTGTTAGATTGCTAGCATCGATCGCTGGCTTTTTCTGACCCAACAGTGGGTGAAGGAAAGAGCCTGAAAGCCGGCAAGGTGGGGGTGGAAGAAGACTGGGACCACTTTTGTAGAGAAAGAAAGAAAAAGAGAGTAAAACGGGTGGGGGCCATGGGGACCAGGCTTAACTGATGCCCGCCTGCCTCTCTTTGATTTGATGGCCTTTATTCCTTCTAATTGGATAAAATAGGAAGTCAGTGGCGGTCCTGTGCGGCTGGGATACTGATTTTACTCAGACCAGCCTGCAGTTCTAGAGTATGGATAGAGAGTGAAAAGTGGGGGTTGGGAGAGGGGGAGGAAAGAGCGAGGAGAGAGAGAGGACGGGCTTGGATGAAGAGGGGAAAGAAAGAGAAAGAGACTGAAGCAGAGAAGAGCCGCAGAGGAAGAAAGTGAATGAGCACTCAAGAAGGACAAAGAGGAGTAGCCGGGGGTGGGTGGAGGCGGGGCGGGGAAGGGAGTGACCGCCCCTCCTGGCCGCGCTCGTGCCTCCCCAGCCCTCGGTGTTTGCAGTGATGCTCCGAGGGCAGGCACCTGCTGCTCTGTAATGATTCAGCCCCTTTCGGCCGTCGTCGCGCTAACACAACAGGATGCTGTTGCTATTGTCACTGCTGCCTCTCCTGCTGCCGCCGCCGCCGCCGCCGCTGGTCCTCCTCCTGCTTTTACTTCTCCTGCATGACAGTTGTTTTCTTCATCTGAGCAGACACCAGCTTCAGATGCTCGAGGTGAGAAACATGCCTTTCAGTTTGGGCTACTGGTTTACTTAATTCACCAGCTGGCAGCTCCGTCGATCTATTTTGGTCCCTGTCCTCTTGACCAGCCCGGGATGGTTTGGAGAAGCGTTTAAAAGAACTCGAAAAGTGGCTCAGAAACAGCAGCTTAGAGAATTATTAAGATATACTTTGATTTTGTAGTTGCTAGGAGCTTTTCTTCCCCCCTTGCATCTTCCCGAACTCTTCTTGATTTTGATAATGGCCTTGGACTTGGACAGTTTATCGATTTCCCCCTGTAAGATGCTGTATCATTTGGTTGGGGGGGCCTCTGCGTGGTAATGGACCGTGAGAGCGGCCAGGCCTTCTTCTGGAGGTGAGCCGATGGAGATTTATTCCCCAGACATGTCTGAGGTCGCCGCGGAGAGGTCCTCCAGCCCCTCCACTCAGCTGAGCGCAGACCCATCTCTTGATGGGCTTCCGGCAGCAGAAGACATGCCAGAACCCCAGACTGAAGATGGGAGAACCCCTGGACTTGTGGGCCTGGCTGTGTCCTGCTGTGTGTGCCTGGAAGCTGAGCGCCTGAAAGGTTGCCTCAACTCAGAGAAAATCTGCATTGTCCCCATCCTGGCTTGCCTGGTCAGCCTCTGCCTCTGCATCGCCGGCCTCAAGTGGGTATTCGTGGACAAGATCTTTGAGTATGACTCTCCTACTCACCTTGACCCTGGGGGGTTAGGCCAGGACCCTATTATTTCTCTGGACCCAACTGCTGCCTCAGCTGTGTGGGTGTCGTCTGAGGCATACACTTCACCTGTCTCTAGGGCTCAATCTGAAAGTAAGGTTCAAGTTACAGTGCAAATTGACAAGGCTGTTGTCTCCTCTGAACCATCAGTGGCATCAACACCGAAGAATCGTATTTTTGCCTTTTCTTTCTTGCCATCCACTGCACCATCCTTCCCTGCACCCACCCGGAACCCTGAGGTGAGAACACCCAAGTCAGCAACTCAGCCACAAACAACAGAAACTAATCTCCAAACTGCTCCTAAACTTTGTAAGTAGAGAGAGAGAGAGAGATGATGATGATGATGATGATGATGATAACGATGAATAAAGGAAAGGGGTGGGTTTGAGGTCCCAAAAGGTGTTCTCTAAAGGCTGTTTCCCTTTCTTCCTGCATTTTAGTTGCCTGGTGTTGTTTAAGCAAAGCAGGTGTTTGAGATGCTTGGGATGGCCTTGAAGGGTTGAGTCAAATGATCTTGCAAACTCTGGCTCTGAACCAGTGCTGTAACAGCCGCTGTCTCTAGTCACATTGTTCAGTCTGGTCCCGGCAATGCAAAACTTCAGCATCTGCAAGTCATGCTTGAATTTAAGTTAAATTCAATTTATTTCTAACACGTTTTAAAATGAAAAGATCAGGTCTTCTTTTATGTCTTATACAAATGTGATTTTCATACACCAGTGAGTATTATTTTGTGTCTTTCTCTTTCCCATCATAGATTTCCTATCACCTTTATGTTACCCTCTACTTCACAGCAACCCCAAGCTGCCTCGTCTTTCTCTCTTCTTGTTTGCTAACCACTTCTCCCTACTCTTGTACCTTAATTGGTTCTTTCTGAGACTACAGCAAGTCTTAAGACATTTATGCTGCTCGCCTCTCACTAGCAGGACTGCTGTCCTGCCCGGATTGTACTTTTGGGTAGTGACCACTGATTAGTGGCAGTTTTGTTCAGGGCACAGTAGGATTCTTCATGAAGGATTTTCCCAGATTAGTTTTGTCCTCTAAAATCAAATGCTTAAATAGCTTCCTTGGCAGTCATTAAGAAGTACAAGATCCATTAGTGAGTTACATCCTCTTTTTTTCTTTTTTTTTTTTTTTAGACATGTGTCATCTTAGGCTGGCAGATTGCAGCAGCCTGGTTTAATAACCTGTGATGTGTAGAGAGCCCACGCTCTTAAAAACAGTACATTCCTGTTTGCATTGGGTAATTGCAATAGTTTTAGAGGGGAAAGTTGACAGGAATGAAAGCATGACTGTTCTAAACATCAATATAGGAGAGAGGAGTTTTCTATAGCCTTTTATAAATGTTTCTAGTTTATTTTTGTTGTCTCTGTCTCCTATCACTTTTTGCCATGATGAATATTTACTTAATAAAAAAGTACAAGATCCGAAAATTTGTTTCTTAATAATTTGCATGAAAGCTCGTAGGGTTAAAAGGGAATTGCCAATTTCTCTGATGAAATGCCCCTTATGTTTTTCCTCTGGACAATAATGAAGAATAAAGAATACCTTTTCCAGACATCATGTTCAGTATGAAGTAGTGCAGCATGCTATAGAAATAGAGAAAAACTTGATTTGTGCTTGTGATTCCCAATCATTTTACTTACACCAGATTCAGTGGCAAAGATTTTTTTTTTTTTTAAAGAGGCTTGTTTTCTAGGTGGAGTCAGGGAGAACCTCCTTCATGTAGACACTGCTTTGCATCTTTATCAAATCCCTGAAGCATCATTAAAGATCTGACAGACATCGCTGCCTTTGCTGCCTCTTCCCACCTGGCAAAATGACCAGGAAATAATATCCAGATGAAATGACAAGCTATAAAAAGCAAGTACAGTTCCTGCAAAGAGAAGTGAAATTCACCAGGAGGACAAGGTTACTTGATCATTTTAAACTTAAGTCTTTAATTGAAACCTGCTTGAACAGGTTTCGTTGCCCAGCAAAAGAAAAAAATTCCCTTTGAAAAACACTTCAACTAAATTCTATAATTTTGTTCTCTGAGGAAATCAGGCAAACAAAGAAACATCCAGCACATTTTTCTGATCTAAGACCATGTCAGAAAGTATGTTATGAAGTTTTGAGAAATAATTGTGTAAGGTAAATTTTTCTACTAAGTGTTTTAGTAGATTACTTATTCCACATCAGTTTCTTTTCCCCAAGCCAGGGCATTGAGATTGTGGCATTTGCAGTAAGTGGGAAAGATTTACTGCTGCCTAAAAGCATCTTTGTGGCCAGTTTGACCAGATGCACAGCTGCAATGTTTTGAAATGCATCGGAGATAAGCCTAGAGAAGCAGTCTGGGAAGTAGTTTTCTCCTAAAAAGTTAGCAGACAGTTAGTTGGTTAACATTTTACAACCTACAGGGAAACTCTGTTAATTTTTTGGACTAGTCCTTTAAAAAAATCAAGTCTAGTATCCCCAAAATTGTGAGCCTACTTTTTTTTGGTAAGCGGAGGGGTGGGGGGAGGTCGGGGGGTGGGTTGGGAGGAAAGTAGTGTTTGAAAGGGATTGGTTCAGGCAGCTTTGTTTTTAAAGACTTGTGAGTGGTGGTTTTTGTTGTTGTTTAAAAAGATTGTAACCATTAATTAATGAAAAGAAAAAAAAAAGCTTACAAAGGGATTGCATTTTGCAACTAAGAAAGTATTGTTTAGTCACAGAAAGAACTGGGACGTTCCTTTTACCATGCATGTTTTTGACATAAACTAAGCTGTCATGGCTTATATTTGAAAATGACATTATCATATGTGAAACATGCTCTTCAGTGATTTTAAGACTTTATTCTCCCTTTTCCATTTTTTTTTTTTTCTGTCTCAGCATATTCAGCACATTATGCACAGAGCTGTAGCCTTCAAGGTCATAGACTGTTGAGGGCTAATTGATTCTTCTTTATCCTGGAGCCTGAGAGAGTAGAAGAGAGACAATCCCAGTAATTGTGTCTGCAGCGTTGCTCCTCAAACCAATCTACCTACTAGTATTAGAGTTTTATTTTGTAATTACTAGAATTACCCCCTCACTGACTCTTGTCAAATTACAACATTCTTTATCTTTATTATAACAAAAGGCAAAATATGACATTTTAAATTGCCTTTAGGTATAGTGGCTATGTCGGATTTTCTAAAATGGGTATTTCTTTTATAAAGTAATATAATTTCATATTTTCATGATATTAATCCATGAATTCATGTAGGCCTTAAGAAGTCCAAGGCAGAACTGGAATGAAAGTATATAAGTATATATTTTTTATTCTAAAGTATTCCTAAATATGGCTAATGGTTTCTCACTACCACAATGATTATATTGTCATGACACTAATTAAGTTTTTGCTTTTCAGTGAGTCACATAGTACTTGCACCATTCATTTGTTTTCTTTGCCTAGGCTTTAAAATTTTTCCTACCCTGACTGTTGGGAGATTGCAAACATAGATTATCATAAAAAGAGCTGATTAATTGATTAATTAAATCTCAGCCAGGAAACAGTGGACAATCTTGAAAGAAAATGTTTTCTGGATGTGAGATCCTCCCAGATTGACAACAGATACTTGGATGCAAGAATGTGTTGGTATTTTCATATTGGGCCAAGTTTGTTTTGCTTTGTCTTATTAAGGAGTTGCATTACAAACCATTGTTACCGCAATGACAATAAGAATCAGTAACCATTTGCAAAAGATCAACATGATGAATTGAATATACCATAGGATTTCTTTCCTTCTGTTTAAAAGTTCCAATTCATTTAAATTCTAATGGATCTTTCTTCTAGTTCTTGGTAACTATGTTTGTAGGTATTTCAGAACAGTGATTTCAAGTAACTTCTTCCCACTTGAATTGTACTTGTTTACAGCCTAAAATACTAATAACTAAAAGATACTGAAAGATCTTTGACTGGAACTGAATACTTTTATAAATTTACCAATGAAGAAACCCAGGCTCAGAAATGCCTAGTGAATTCTTTAATTAAAATTCGCTAAACTCTGAAAAATGCGGCAAAATCTAAAGTATTAGAAAATAACGTCTCTGTCGCTCAGAATTCTCTCTCTCTCTCTCTCTCTCTCTCTTTCCCTCTCCCCCCCCCCACACCCCCACCCACACTGGTTTCTTCTATCATCATATCCTTATTGTAGAGAGTTGGAGCTAGAGACTAACGTAGCATCTGACTGTGAATTAGGGAAGTACTTTAAATGGGACCACTGTTTAGGTGTGTGTGTGTAGTGCGTATTATTAAAATTAAATTTTCTTCTCGCCTTCATGTTTTGTTCTTATTAAATTTTCAGTCATGGTTTTCTTTTCCTGTATTATTTGATCATCCATACAGTGTTCAAGTTGTTTCTGAAAACGGCATAGGTTGCTTAGGGTGAGTTCTTCCCTAATATAGAAGAGATGGCTCTATGGCTCACCTCTTTTCTTTATAGCCCATTTTGTTTTTTCCTCTCTATTCCTTTGTGATATCCAACTCGGCCTTCTTCTTTCCTTTCCTTCCTACCTCCCCAATTATATATTGAATCTTTTTCATTTTTGTAATTATGCCATTTTAGCTTTATATGTCAGAATTTCATTTTTCATCCTAAGATATCAAAACAATTTCAACAATCTTTATAACATTTATTTATTGCATTTTAATGCTGAATGACACTTTCATATATTACAAACATAGAAAAAACAGTCTAGCCAATGACCAGCACACCAGTTTCTTAATGACACAATTAAATCAAATTTTTGCCTTCTTGATCTCTTCCTCTTTTTTTCTTTAGTGCGCTTGATGCCAGTTTCTCTGGTTTTGTACCTCAGCATTTCTGTACTCCAGAAAATTATGTTCCAAACCATACATCTGTGTTCTTATTCCTTCCCTCTTCCTTTTAACAACTTTTCACAGTATCCTTTTAAAGCATGAAGAAAGAGGTATTTTATAGATTGAAAAACCAAACTATAAAAAGTTATGACTTGTTTAGATGCCCCTGAGAACTAGGAATATAACTTGTCCACAGAGTCCATTGAACGTTCTACTGCAACATAAACTACATTCTGTCTGCTTTTATGCTCATGTTTCCACTTTTTATAACTTTTGCTCTATATCAATGCTTTTTCTTCTATTATTTTCTTTCGTTTTCCCATTCATTGAATATATGTTAAGTGCCTACTCTGTGCCAGGCTCTCTTCTAGACTGCTTATTTGGCAGTGGAAAACAGTAGAGTGCCTGCCCTCAGGGAGCTTATCTTCTAGTGGATTTTAAGAATGTGGTTGTATAATGCAATTTGAGATATGTCTTGCTTTCTCTTACATAT